TTTTTACCAAAAACAATCATTATTACATCAAAATAAAGTCGCAAATTTGTGTAAATTACATCAATAAGGAGTGGCAACTGTTTCATGATCACAAATTGCAAATCCAAGTGTTGGTTATTTCATTCACTATAACGACTTATTTAGGTAGTCTTTTTTATAAAATGTCATTCATTGGTGCTAAATGGTATGCAAATGATATGCTAATTTATGTATATATGGTCAGAATTTTTTTTTCTAAATGCATACTTTCAGAATATCAACAAATTCCTCAGATAAATGATAGCCATCTGACTTATAAATATTAAATAATAGACAAATATTTTTATATAAATTTTACTAAAACTGTTGTTTTATACCCAAAATGTATACCACAAAATCTATAAGTGGTCATAGCAATACAATATTATGAAAGATTGTTTTTTCTAGATATGTTTACATATCACATTATTGACTTTTGCATGGCAAATAAAAAAGTTACGATTATTGAATCCACAGTGACTGCCTTATTTTTTTTGAAAAGAATGCAGTGGGGGGAACGTTATGGTCAGATAAATTGAAGCATGTTAAGGGTTAAGGTGGATTTATATCTTAGCTTGTTTTCAAAACCGCTACATACATGTATTGAAATTGTTCATTATAATCTTGTGTTTAGTAACATAGGTAAATACTATATTGAATAAGTTGAAATTATTGATGAAAATAATACTGGCTTTAAACATTTCAAGTTCTTATGAAAAAAGCAAAGGCAGCTGATAGACAGCTCGGAAGTTAAGTTACACTCAAACTGTACTGTAGCTAACCAGTTTTTGTTTATATTTACTGTAAAATACTTTATTTCTTCTTGGAATTTATTTCTGCTATTTTCGCTTGAGGGCTGATTCAGTGAAAATAAAATCCAACGAATATACTTTTTTTCCTATATTTCACATTCAACTCATCAAAAATCAGTGAAAATAAATCCGTACAAAACACCCAAAAAGCCTTTTCAGGGAAAATTAATTCCAGCGAAAATAAAGTATTTTACAGTATTTAAAGCTTGACGTATTTTTGCTTTCTCCTTAGGCACTATTGGTCATGTGGCCCATGGTAAATCAACTGTGGTCAAAGCCATATCAGGTGTACAAACTGTTAGATTCAAAAATGAACTGGAAAGGAATATTACTATTAAACTAGGATACGCCAATGCTAAGGTATGCTACACTGGGATAACAGGCGTGCATTACCCTCATGCCATGGCCATGCACCTCCATACCCTGGGGAGCAGATCCTCTGGTAACCATAAAATTCTGATTGACCCGGGATCACATCTGGCCACAGTCTTCAACTGTGACCTGTCTGATAGTAATTTTGGCCCCACGGAAGCCATAAAATGCTCCATTTTAACTTGGAATTATCAAAAACTCCACACCCTGGTAGGGAGAACCTTATCTCCTTGACACTGAATTGCAGTGCTCCCTCTGGCAATATTTTTCTAGAAAAACACCTGTTACAAATGTCTGTACCCATGAAGTCAAGAATTAATATGTTGATTGACATAGTCTATTTTTGTGATAATGTATTGTCATTATAGGGCTGTGCAGATTATATTAAATGTTGTAATTCCTGTAATATTGAGCCAAAATGAAAGTATTTGAGTAAACATTTTAAAATATGCATACTACACATAAGTAAACGTCACATATACGACTGGAAGAGTAACAACATTACCTTTCTAGCTACTTAATATTTATATTATGTATTCCCTGAGTGCAGAGCTAAATCACAGAATATTCTAGGTTGCTAAGATGCACGCTACTGTACCATGTATTCCTATGGGCTATGTGCGAGCTGTTGTGGAAAGCTGATCGAAGAGCTTGTGAAAAAAGATGCAAAAACAGCACAAACGCAACTATGAGACAATCTTGAGCAACCTAATTTATATACAATGTATGTTGCACCTGTAGAGGTAATCTAGTTTCACTGTTCAGGAGAGGCTCAACTGCTAGCCCAAAGTACTGTTTTTGAGAGTTTTTATTTCATCTGTTGTGGTTGCTAGACGGTGAAAATTCCTGGATGTTCACTTCCAAGAATGGGCCATATAACACGACATACTATCCGAAGTCTTCTCATTCAGTATTTTGTGCCCGTATTCTATTTACTGAAACATGAAATAAATTCCACATCTCAATTCTGTGAAAATACTCTTTCTACTGATGCATATTTTAGTGTGATCCAGTATCGTCATCTTTATACTTACAACGTTGTTATTTTTTACTCTTTTGTTCCAGATATTCAAGTGTAGCTATGAACGCTGTCCTAGACCAACTTGTTATAGATCAGCTGGTAGTAGTAAGGAAGATGAGTTTCCATGTGACCGACCTGGATGTCCTGGTAGATTCAAAATACTTAGGTGAGGAAACAAACTCTGGTGTTCAAGGTATACATAGAAATTTAATTATGTGTAAAATTTTTGAAAACTAAGATATTTATGACTAAGCATTATTGGTGAAATTTTTTGTTCATGATTGGAAGTTACAGACTCCATATTTCCTTGGATTGGGCAAAATGAGAGTGAGTTGGGCTAACCATTCTAGGGGAGTCTGACCCTCTCCATCCCCGGGAAGCGAGACTCAGATTTACCAGGACATGCCGCAGTGATGTTTTGCCTATCACTCACACAAATTAAGACACAGAGGAGCTAATTCTTGCTCAATTCAAACATTTTGTAGAGATTTGAATAGCACAGTTAGTCTGCCAGCCATTTAAAAAAAAACACACGACCTGACCTATTCCCTGCTATGCTCCTAGTATATCACTATTTTTCTAAGTGTATAATGTGTACCTGAATATAATTGACATTTTTTTTCTCTAGACATGTCTCCTTTGTAGATTGCCCTGGTCACGATATTTTGATGGCAACTATGTTGAACGGGGCTGCTGTTATGGACGCAGCGTTGCTACTTATTGGTATGTCATTTCAGTTACTTGATTTCCTTCTATACTCCCTATATTCACCTATATTATACATTTTAGTAGAGTATAGAAGTCGCAATACATAATATCAGATGATTTTTGTAACCTGCTTTGTTTTCGTCTTACAGCCGGGAATGAGTCCTGCCCTCAACCACAGACATCAGAACATCTGGCAGCTATTGAAATCATGAAATTGAAACACATACTCATCTTGCAAAATAAAATAGATTTAGTGAAAGAAAGTCAAGCGAAGGACCAGTTTGAACAAATTCAAAGGTTTATTCAAGGTAAATTAGTGTTTTCATGACCAGCTTATCAAATATCAGATGTGAAAAGACAATGGTTTACTGTGTCAACACGGAATAATGACTTATCAAATTAAAGTGTGTTAGACATGTGACATATTGTCAAATTTATGTTTGCTTTACAATGTGTGTAATCTAAATTTAATACTGCCCTCTAGTGGTAGAATAATTGATCACTATCCTTGGGGTGAAGCTACGTCACAAGACGTTCCATGTTGCTAAGATGTGCACTACTATACCATGTATTCCTATGGGCTCTGCACGAGCTGGTGTGGAGTGCTGGTTGAATAGCTGGTGAAAATAGCTAAATTCGAGAAAAAACACAAAACAAACTTTGAAGTAATTCTCGACAACCAAATTTATATATGTTGCACATGCAGGAGTAATCTTGTGGAGCATAAAAGCATTTTTATTGTACAAGAAAATTCACATTCAATATTATTTTCAGGCACAATAGCAGAAGGTGCTCCTGTAATTCCAATCTCAGCACAGCTCAAGTACAACATTGAAGTAATTTGTGAATACATTGTCAAAAAAATACCTAAACCCATCAGAGACTTCACATCCAAACCAAGATTAATTGGTAAGATATTTTTACCCTCTTTAAGCCATCTCAGTGGCATCATTTGTTTCCATTTTTGCAAAACGACATTCAAATGTTTGGTAACCACTAGCTCATGATCTGCTGTAAAAATGTTACATATCAATTGTTTTATTTGCATACACTGTTTAAATATATATATATATATATATATATATATATATATATATATATATATATATATGTAAACAATGGCAATATTATATTATAATTCATTATCTTGTCAATGATTTGATTTTATGATTATATCATGAGAGATTTACCTAAAGACTCAATGAGAAGTAGCGGTATAAAGTGGAAGTAGCAGTATGAAGTGAAATTAAAAACGCTTTGTGGAGTAAGAACGTTTGTAATCAGTGACAACATTTCTATCACGTGCTGTAGTGCAGAAGTGATTAAATGTCAAAATTAAGTTGGAAAGTTTTGATTTTATACAGCTTTTTACTAAATTCTATTGTTTTTAGTGCCAGATGCATAATAATATGAGGTTATTATGAGGACACAGAAAAGTATGCATGAAGACAGTACAGTGGGAGTATCAACTGATGCGCAGTGAAGGTCGATGTGATTGTGTACTGTCTGAGTGCATACTTTGCAGTATCCTCGTAATAACCTTATTATTAGTCCCCGTTCGGACGCAGTCCGAAAACGGGGACTTATGTTTTGACCTCCGTGTGTGCGTGCGTGCGTGCATCTGTGCGTGCGTACGAGCCTTTATCTTAGAAATGTCTGGACCAATCACAATCAAACTTCACACATACATCATACATGATAGTATACATATGCACGTCAATTTGTTTCACGATCTGATTCAAGATGGCCGAATAGCGGCCATTTTTGTGCTAAAAATCATCAAAAACAAGCATTTCTCAGCCATTAACAGATGGATTTTGTGTAAACTTGATATATACATTAGACATTATAGGTCCTTGATGCACATCATTTTGTTTTACGATCTGATTCAAGATGGCCGAATGGCGACCATTTTTGTGCTAAAAAATCATCAAAATCAAGCATTTCTCGGCTGTTTACAGATGGATTTTGTTCAAACTTGGTATATACATTAGACATTATGGGACCTTGATACAAATAATTTTGTTTTTCAGATAAGATTCAAAATGGCTGACTGGCGGCCATTTTGTTTTAATGAATGTGGTTTTCGTGCCATATCTCTGACTTGCTTTCACTGATTATGTTCAAATTTTAAATTTTTTCATTATACATCATGTCATAGATAGACAGATATATTGGTTTGACGATCCTATTCAAAATGGCCAAATGGTGGCCATTTTTGTGCTAAAAAATCATCAAATATCAAGCATTTATGAATGGATTTCGTTCAAACTTGGTACATATGTTGAAACATTACAGGTTCCTGATGCACATCATTTATTTTTCAGATCGGATTCAAAATGGCTGTCTGGCGGTCATTTTGTTTTAATGATTGGGCTTCTAGAGCCATATCTCTTACATGCTTTGACTGATTATATTCAAATTTTATATATTCGTTATACATCATGTTATATATATACATGTATTCAAAATGGCTGATTTTGAATGCTGTTCCAGAGCAATATCTCTCAATATGGACAAGTACTTTTTTGACGATCAGATACAATTGTCAATCATTTTAATGTTAAAAAATCATATTCCTGACATGGTTATATTCCAGCTATATTACTATAAACAAAACTATATATCTTGAATTTGATAACTAACGGGGACTGTGCCATGCATGGCTTGTTATACATCTTTTCTTCCCAGGATACATCATGGGAATACCGAAATCCAAAATGTTTACAACAGTTTTGGCAAACTTCTTTGTGTGGAGTCCGGTCAAACCCTAATGGCAGCCATGTTTGTTTTTACTATTAGAGGATGCTTACGTGCGTAATCATTCCATATTGGAATTCGCATTTCCTAATATGGTAGGATGAAAATACCCTGTTAAATACCGCAAAATTATAGCACGTTGTAACTTATGGCATTATGGTGACAGATGTATAATAATAAATTTTATTTTCAGTTATTCGGTCATTTGACGTCAATAAACCTGGCTGTGAAGTGGATGATTTAAAAGGGGGTGTGGCTGGTGGTAGCATCCTTAGAGGTGTTCTTAGGGTAAGTAAGTTAAACACTAACACAGTACGATCTACATGGAATACAGTCTGCAGTCCAAGTCATTTAGAGAGTGATCATTTTTATATTAATTGACGATATTGTTTTCAAATGCATTTGTGTAAATTCTTTTTAAAGGTTTCATCACATATAAATAGTGATGTTCACAATGAGATATTTGCATGATGTCTGTTGTGTGTACTATGAATTCGTCTATTTGATAATTTGTATAATCTGAAAAATGACATGTCTGTAACGTATCACTTGCTGAAAGGCATCATAGATAGCTGAAAACAATGGGAATATAAAATGGACAATGGGTTAATGTAATTGCACAATTGTTTTCAGATTGGTCAGGAGATTGAAGTGCGGCCTGGAATTGTCTCCAAGGATCAGGATGGGAAATTGATGTGTAATCCAATATTTTCACGGATTGTATCATTATACGCAGAACAGAACGATTTACAATATGCAGTACCAGGTGGACTGATTGGTGAGTTATCTTTGCCTCTCATGATATTGATGTGGCAAGGTACATGTATAGTGATTAAAATGTCTGTCATCAAGTAATTCATGTTCAGTCGTTCTCAAACTTTTATTTATCAACTGATATATTATCTCTGTGTAGTTCAAGTTTGGTATATCATGACTTATTTTTGCTTAGATGTATTGCTATACTATTTGGTAATTTTCATGAGATTAATGTTATTAGTCAAATATATAAAACATTATTATACAAATATTAATATATACTTCAGCATTTATTAAATTTATATCCTTATAAAGTAAGATATTATTCATATTAATGATTATTATTGAAATAAAAATCTAAAAGCACTAATTTAGTTCCTGTTTTGAACAGTTAGAAATTTGGATTTCATCTGTCTGTGCATCCAAGCCATTTCAAGGGCATGCTTTGACCGATCAGATTCAAACTTACATATGCACTCCATTTTTCATTCCCATTTGGACAATTATGACTGTCTGGCAACCATTTTAGTTTGTAAATTTGCTAAATTCTGATAGTTAAACATTCTGTGTACAGAACTATTTCTCGAAATGAACTGATTGATTTTATTCAAACTTTATATCTGGATCATGCATATTGGGTTACAGGTACATATCATATTTGAACAGAAATGACTAATTGACGGCTACCGTATTTTGTTAGTCATTTCTATTCTGATTCATTAATGTATCACCTTATTCAGTTGAAATTTTGGAAACAAGTACTATACTCGTAGGTAATACCTATGGTTGTGTTATTTTGTGTTTTGATCAAATTTGTTAAATTGAGGGCCATTTTCTAAAATCGTAGTCTATTAATGTGTTTATACATGTAGCTGTATCTCTGAGATGGCATGATTTTATTCACAAATCAGTACAATGATTGTACATTTGATTACACATTACATTTTTCAGTGAATCAACAAAATAAGCGCAGTACATTACAGGACATTCCCAGCAATGACTGGTAGCATCACAGCGCTATTTAGCCAAATGCATTATAACCACCCCAACGATATACTTCTTGCTCCTTAAAATTTAATCCCTCCACAGGTTCGGGGTACATTTATCTGTTAATCCCCACCATAGGTGGGACAAAATTGCACAGTGAACAAATAATCACTGATACATTGTTCATAGTTCAGAGACAATAGGTAGACACATATTCCAAAATTAACATATCAATAGGTAACTTACAAGCGGTGCTATTTTAGGAAAGGTGTTAATATTTTTAGACCAAGTAGGATACCGTCGGCGAATACATATGCCCACTTCTGGATCTCTGCTCGTGATGGAATTTGTCATTGAATACAGAATGGGAACTGTGCATAGTCAATGCCTTTCATCCATAATTTAAATATACTGTAGAATACTTTATTTTCGCTTGGAATTTATTTTCGCTGAAGGTATGATTCCGTGAAAATAAAATCCAGCGAATATACTTTTTCTCCTATATTTCACATTAAACTCATCAAAAATCAGTGAAAATAAATTCCATACAAAACGCCCAAAAAGCCTTTTCAGCGAAAATTAATTCCAGCGAAAATAAAGTATTCCACAGTAGTTTATATAATGCCTTGTAATCTTGGTTCTCTGTACTGAAAGTATCAAGGTTTCTAACTTGGTCATCTGTCGCATATTCACCATAGTTGTTCTATTACCGTATTTATCCGGGTATAAGCCCATGGTCCTGAACATGGAAAATTGCCAAAAAGAAGGGGTGGGCGTTTGCCAGGAGACCCCCGGCAAAAAAAACCGAAAATTCGCGAAAATTGACAACACGCAGATCGAACTGCGGCAGGGAATAGAACGGCAAATCCCTACAACTTACATGTATTCCTGAAATTCGTCCCACACAATTTGGACTTAGCACTTTTAATCCACAGATTTCGCAGTCTGTCAGCTTGGCACTTTTCATTCATGTCTAATCATAATAAAGAATGGGGTCGCTCTGCTGCGATGGCACACGATGCTTTTGTTTACAGTCTAGCAATCATCTTTGACCTTTATGCATCTGCTTTACTGATTGGCTAAGAATGACATCACTGCTAGTATTTCATCATAAAGGTCAAATCGTGACATTGCTTTCTTATCAGACTCGACGCTTATCAATCACGGTGAAAGTTATCATTCAGCAAGTTCCGGCGGTTGGAATGTCTCACTATATGGATATCGCGGTGGACTTGAAATAGAAAGCTTTTTTTTTATCCAACGACTGAAGAATAGTTTTCATGACAGAAATGAAAGATGGTAAAAAAGTTGGCAGTCTTCGGCTTGACATTGCAAAACTGCTGGCCCCAGTTATGGATTCGCAAGCTGCTACAAAATATTATATAAAGCCAAAATAACATGATTTCAACCACTCTCCCAGGTACGGGTTGCTACAATATTGCAACATTGGTTTCGTTGTTGACGACGCTAAAGCCGAACGAGTGTGACACTTGCTTAGCGGCTCTCCTTATACGATTTGCTTGAAGGCAGAGAGCTGTCACAGCTATTTTGCGTTCACCCCTTGTTTTATGCAATTAACAATTTTTATAAGTATCACGACAGACTTCAAGAAAGTAACATACAACCACAGTCAACGAATAGGACATACCGGTAGTTCTTTTTATATTTTTTGTGTAGAAAAAGACCCCCTGGGCGTGTGTATGACCTCAACTTCTTTACTATGTCAAAAGTGGGGGGTGGGCGTTTGGCCGGGGCATGGGCTCTTACCCGGATAAGTACGGTAGTAGTGCATACACACGCGGGAATTGAAATTAAAAATTACATTTGTCTTTTCATTTGACTGGTGAGAGAATAAAACTGTGTGTCACAATTGATAATGTACCTATTCTTATTGAGACATATTATTTGAAATAAAATTTTAATTCTTGGCTCATAATTATTAGTCCTAAAAAGACATTAGAAACTTAGGACTGCCCTATACGGTTAGTTAGTAAAAACTTGATATCTTTATTCACCTGTCCACAGGGTCAGGCAATTTGTACATCCACCTCTCCCTGCTAAAATCAGCTTGTCTAGGACAGCTGGACAGACCTTAATTTTGAACCCTGACTTACAAACATTACAGCGATGCATCTACATGTATTTTAATAATTCAGCATACAACAAATTTGTATGTGCTTCTGTTAAGGATGTGCTTTCTAATAGAATGAATATGGTATCCTATTGACAGGTGTTGGCACAAAGATTGATCCTACATTATGTCGTGCTGATAGACTGGTTGGGCAGGTTTTGGGATCTGTTGGTGCATTACCAGACATCTACACAGAGTTGGAAATCTCCTACTTCTTACTCAGACGTCTACTCGGTGTCAGAACAGAAGGAGATAAAAAAGGAGCCAAGGTAACACATGCTTAATATCAGTGTCCATACAATGCAGCCTTTGCATAATGTATCGCATAACTCAACACATTGTCACAACTGCTGGTTGCTTCGCATTCACATACAACTCTTCGCATCACATCGTGTTGCATTGCATCACATCGCATCGCATCACATCACACCGCGTTGCATTGCATCATTGTAGCATCAATAAGTATAATAATAGCCTAAAATTGTAAATTTGTAGTTTTATAATTTATTCGTTGCAAATTTATTATTTATTATTTATTATAGGTGTACTTAATTTTTATTCATTATTTGTTTTTTTTATTGATTTATAAAAAAAGAAGGCCTTGTTTTTTCAAAAACAATGTAATCTGGCAATATACATGTAGTACAAAAAACTATCACAGTGTCATACAAAGTCATCAGTAAAATTCCAGGTTGAACTTCAAAATGATTGTGAACTTGAGTGACTTGAACTTCATAGATTTGAGTGGTATTGTATAGATGTTTAGATTTCAGCTGTGCACTTGATGGATTTATAGAATTTAATATTGCAGTGCAGTAGACCTGACCTAGGTAACCTGTTTCAGTGACATTGTGATGTACATATACCATATTAGCACATGTGCTTGCAGAAATGACGAACATAATTTAATGTTAAAAAATTATAAATCACAGTCAGCTGGTGCACAAGTGATAATAAAGTAAATGCGATATTTACTATATGGGGGTAGACTGGCGAAGTCGGGGCGATTAATTTGTTTTTGTAGTTTTTTTTTAAATTGCGAAATGGAGGTGTTAGCGCAAAATCCCTTGTAACTGGTCTATTCTGCATGGCCCTCTATCGACACTGCAGGAACCCGTCGATTTTTCAATGGGTAATTATGTTAATGAGTGTTCTAATTGACAATCATCTGAGCCAATCACAGCATCTCTTCAACTGACCTCTGACCGAAGAAGACGTCGACTGATTGTAGCATATATTTTTTTAATTCTACGACTAAGTACGAGTTACTTTTTTACACATTGTG